TGGACCCCAAAGTTTAGTGGTTACCAAGAGGTTGTCATGAACGAAGCTCACAAGACTAGATACTCCGTTTACCTAGGTTCGGACAAGATGTACCTTGATCTCAAGAAACTATATTGGTGGCCAAACACGAAAGCGGAAATCGCTAGGTTCGTGGGCAAGTGTCTGACTTGTGCCAAGGTGAAGGTCGAATATCAGAAGCCCTTAGGTTTGCTTCAGCAGCCGGAGATACCTGAATAGAAGTGGGAGAGGATTACCATAGATTTTATTACCAAATTATCGGTACGACACCATCTAGGTAATAGTGGACCGATTGACAAAATCTGCTCAATTCCTACCGATCAAGGAAACGTTCAAAATAGAGAGACTCACGCCAATCTACATCCAAGAGATAGCGTAACTGCATGGCCTGCCAGTATCAATTATCTCTGATTGAGATAGCAGATTTACCTCAAGATTTTAGCAGTCACTGCAGAAAGCTCTTGGAACTAAGCTAGATACAAGCACAACTTACCATCCTTAGACATATGGGTAGAGTGAGAGAACCATCCATACCTTGGAAGACATGTTGCAAGCATGTGTCATCAACTTTGGTAAGTCATGGGGCACCCATTTTCCCATGGTCGAGTTCTCATACAACAACAATTATCATACCAGCATCCAAGTTGCACCGTTTGAAGCCCTCTATGGACGCAAGTGATGGTAACATTCCATAACCGAAAACAAGTGTTTCGATATGTATATGTATTTATTGATATTAGGATTCCTTTAAGTGCCACGTGCATCAACTCGAGGATATTCCAGTTCAATCCTTTGGACCCAACAACCAGCGAATTCATACCCTTGCGCTTTTATAGTTTTTAAAATGTTTTCAGGGGGGATACGAGCCAAACATAAAGGTTTTCACAAGTTAATAACTGATGCAATATCAACGGTTTTACATCAAACATTTAGATACTTTATCCCTTTTGTAATATGCGGAGAATAAGTGACGGTTTCTAAAACATAATTGCATTGTTCTCAGAACAGTACATGAACATAACATACCAGTCAAACGATAATAGGTATAGTTTGGGGAACTCATTACCAGTTTTACAGATTTAAACTACGGAAAAGGTTGAACACATAAACTATGAAAAATTTAGTTTATCCATTATTACATACAGATAACAAGAGTATCATACTAGATAATTATTTTTTCATATAATTATTTATACTCTATATAGTATACAAATGATTTCAAACATGAAAAATTCTGAACAACACGTATACTAGTTAATATAGGATTGTGAGACCTCTTTATTGTACCCTTGTGGGTAATGGTAAATCCTCAACCCTTAGTATAACCAGAGTCTCCTGGAGGGAGAGCGTGAAATTTGTGAATACATCTATTTGGGACCAACAATCCTACACCTGAAGTATTAGCTACAGTTCGGCAGGCATGCCTAGGGTGACAATTTTTGTAACGTACGGCGACTAAAGAAACATCATGGAGGTCACCAGTCATATTAGCATGGTTATACGAACTCATAATAGTATAAACTAACCTTGTTTATGGGATTTTCATTCTTTAATAGTTTTATTTTAATTAATAAGACTACCAACATACTACACTGGAGGGTATTCCTGGGATACAACATTTGGTTTTATTTTAAGTAATAAGACTACTTTACTTATTGATGGTAGCCAGGGTTTTTCAAACAAGAACTTACTTACTGGTGGTAGCCAGGATTTTCTAACATAACATACTTTACCTACTGGTGGTCGCTTGGGTTTCGATACAAACGATATTTTACTTATAATGAAAATAAATCATTTGTACAAATTCAGTGACTAGTTTTCAATTTAAAAACATGCTTATGAACTCACCAGCTTTATGCTGATATGTTTTCAAAATCGATGGTATTCTTAGTACAACAATAGACATGTACCTTTGCCAGCTTTTGGAGAGGACAGAGCATTATGGAGTCACGTCTTTCTCATTTTGATTTATACAAATTATGTTTTATCAAACATATGTAATATTCATATGCAATATAATGGATGTGTTTACTTGATTACTATGATGCAATTGTTGTGATACTACACATGATGTCACCACCCCCGAACGTTTCTGCCATTTGTTCTGATGGTTCGGGGGGTGTGACAATTGACTTGTGGTACAATTATCATTAGATGAGGGTTAGAGAGGAGGATGTGCAAAAGATGACCTTCAAGACTCGTTATGGTCATTACGAGTTTGTAGTGATTCCATTTTGGACTCACCAAGACACTAACACCATTCATAGGTCTCAGGAATAGCGTATGCAGACCGATGATGGATTAGTTTGTGATTGTGTTCATTGATTGTATTAGGTCTACTCTAAGACCAATGAGCAACACGAGGAACACTTGTAGGAGGTGTTGGAGACCCTACGGAGAGAGAGGTTGTAT